GACTGTCACTTCTGTGGGGTAGACAGTCCCCCTGCCGTAAAGTAAAAGTACAAGAAAAAGAACTAATCCTGACGGATCCCTCTGACTCCAAGGGTGACACACACACATCAAGATCACAAGTCAGGACACTGCAAACTTGCTTACCGTACAAGCCCATGGGCCACGAAGTTGCCAACTTAACTGTGCAAAAAAACACAGTTTTCGTAGGCGCAGAGCGCGCATCCGTAAAAGTATGTAAAGTCCTTTTCTGCTTCTATTACTGACTAAGCTATTCAAAAACACAGGGTTGTTGCACATAGAAACATAGATACGCAAACCTGCAAACGCCAAACCTCACAATCTCTTTCAAGCCGTGGGCAAGAATTGGGTTGGGAGTTTCATTGAACATGGATTTGCTGTGGGGGTATTTGCGTTATGCGTTGCACCTGTGTCTATGCAGTGGCGGACCCAACGCCCCCATCAGTTGTGGACCTTTCAAGTCATGCCGATCGTTGAAAGATGAAAGTGAGAGTGATGTCCTTGTCCCTGTGGGTGTTGCTCATGTCCAATATCAATGCCAATGTTGTTTATTCAGTTTTTTGGGAATGAAACAAACAGTCTAGGAACCACAAAGTTCAGTATTCCGAGATGCGCTTCATCACCTGCAGGATATGGTGGCCGACAGCCCTGCTCGCTAGATTGAGTTGCAGACAGAGTCTCAGCACTTCCTGTGTGTTTTCATGTGTTTTCAGATGCGTTGGAGTTGTGTGGACGGTAGCTGAGTACAGATGACTTCGAAGGCTTTCTAGCGGGATACGAAGTCTGAGCTTCATGAATGGAGATGAGAAGTGGCCAGACAGCCGTCGGGAAGCCAAAGATTCAAAGGTCCTCACAACTCACATCTTCACATGGCACAAACGTCATGCGTGTGAGTCGTTGTGTGAATATATTATTGAATATATATTGAATTTTGAAATTCCTTCAATCGTTCTTCATGGTTTCACGCGCTAATTAAGATGCTTTATGCATCAAAGGGCGCAGCTTGAAGCTGTTGGCTTGGGCGCAGTATTTATGGAATGCTGCAGGGACCTCAGAAAGCCCATTCTGAAGTCAAGGGATGAAGGGATATGGGAAAGGGGAGAAGAATGGAACGTGGATTACTATTGAAAGTATTGTAGTCCTTTGAAAGGTTCTGCAAGTAAATGTTGTTTAGTAATGTGAGCACAGCCAGTAGTCCTAGATTGAGGGCCATACCACTTTCATGGTAGTTAAGCAAAGCAGCCAGCTCGAGAGTTGATTGAACTAGCAATCGGCAATGGCCACTGTGCCCCACTGACCAAGCAGGCAATTGCAAACACGTTCCAATCATTGTTGATACTGTTGATACTTTCCAGGCTGCTAGCAAGTTGGGCAGCTTCGCTATTTCTACTTTGTGGATACTATGTGGAGGATAACATCGGGCGGTGTGAACAAAAAATGAAAAAGATCCAAAGAGTGGTCGAGTCCCAAAACCACTTAGTATGTTTTATTCTTTGACATTCACTTAAGTGGATGTAGAGGGCAGTGTGGATCCTTGAATGTTCTATTTTTTGCATTGGTTGGTCGAAAGGAAGGGAACCGCGCATTGGTTGGTCCAAGCACCTTAGGTCCAAGTATCGTGCTGCGCAATTGCGATCGATGTATCGTGCTCGAACATACTCGCCTGATAAAGAGCATGTTCAAGAAACGTGTGTTGCTTTTTGATGCTTTTTGACAAGACCTGTGAGATCAATACCATTCACGTTTGGATTTGTCTGGCCAATGAGAGGTACAGTAGGTTTGTTGTTCTGTGTTCATGGGCAGACAAACTAAGTAGGCATTCAGTAGGTCATTGCCCAATGCGTTCTCTTGCGACTTGTCCTGCATAAATTTCTCGCGTCCTAAATGTCTATCGTGTTTGTTGTAGCTGCTTTTCGCTTGCAACATGGTGTAAGTGGAAAGTAAAGCCAGAATTAGCGTCAAACAATTGTTCCAACCTGGGGAATTCTTCGAGAAACTTGCGCTTCGAGAAACTCAACCGAAAGCCTTTTCCGCATCTCGAGAAACTCACGGAGTTTTGAGAGAGGAAGCCATGAGACGTCATCAGACTGAGAGGGCTTATGGTTCTTCTCACCTGAAAGTAAGCAAGTATTTTCCGAGGAAGTATGGTTTGCTATGGTTCGCAGGCCCGTTTTCTAGCCCACTTTCTATCCCAGGCCCGAAAGGACGCAGAATAAGCATGGTCACATTCCACCAGGCAAGGCTTTGACCATGTTGAATGATCGATCGAATGAGCCGTCGAGAGTGAGCCGTCATGTGACGATGTGACGGTGAGAGCCAATACATCATGCATGCAATTTGACATGCATGTCGCCTGTTTTCAGCCTGGGAGGCAAAGCTACACGCAGTCTCTTGGCGCAAACCTGAGACTTGCCAAGTTCTGCCATGTTGTGTGGAGTGAGATGTCAGCATGTCCCTTTCTTGACGTTCATTCCAAAAATGCCAGCAGTGCCATCAGCGGATTCAGTGTAAGCCTCCCAGCCTCCCAGTCTCCCTCGATCTCATCATGGCGGCTCTGGTGTTGCCAGAAGATGTGTACTGCAGAGTGAAGAACTGCGCCTTGGAGTTCTGTGAGTTCAAAGAAAGTGGGCCCAGCGACACCCAGAAACGTGCGGGATCGGAACCACCCTGCGCGTCCCACCGATCCTGCACTCCTTGGGTGTCGGCTGATCATGTGGAGGACCACATGACTGATCCAGTCGCATGTGAAACAGCTCTGCAGCAGGAGACCGTTGCGGAAGTTCGTGGAGATGTTGCTGTGGACGAATCCGCTACTGGTCCAGCTGCTTCCCAGGGGACGGCAAGCACTATGCCTATGCCCTCAATGCTCTCGGTCTTGCCGCCCACCCCACCGACGACCCAGAAGAACACCTTCATTGAACCTGTTGAAGAGAAGCCCACCTTGCACCGAATCCTTTCAGCCCCGGCACTGGGCAATCCTTCTCGTTCTCCGAGCCAAAGCCCCCGCTCACCGGGCGATCGATGTGATCGATGTGATCGAGATCCCACACCTGCATTTGTTCAAGAGCAAGTTCTGGTGCACACAAGGACTGCCGATGAGATCGACAAGATCCATCTGGACTTTGATCCCTTGGACCTCTCCAAGCGCAAGGACCTGGACATTGCACATGGCCGTGCGGTGATTGGAATGTGGATGCCTGTCGTCCTCATTGATGTCAGAGATCAGCTCCTGTTCGTTATTGGTCCCAAACACCTGGCGATAGCCTATGGATACCATCGCTTTCCTTGCCAGCATGAACGACTTGTTTATCTCAGCAAGGAACTTTGCAAGTACCACCAGAGGGGGTATTGCCGGTCTGGCCAGAAGTGCCAGTTCATGCATTCCACACCCCAGCAGATTCTCGAGCTACTAAACATGCTGGATAGAAAGGATGCATTGGACGCACTGCGCTCTGATGTACTCAACTTGGGTTACCCTGCACCAGAACACCCACAAGGTGCTGTGATCCTGAGCAGGAATCCCGCTACTGGCGGAGCAATGTGGGACTATGCGCCAGCTAATGTGGATGCAAGGGTCCATGGGGTGCACACACACCAAAGATGTGGCCGACGCATTGTGCAGACCCGCGAGACCAAGATCGGACGAATGGTCTGGCTGCAAAACGTCTGCACCTTCTCCGTGAAGGGCCCCCAAGGCCGGTGTACCTACGGCGCTCATTGTCGTTTCGATCACCTGCGGGAGGCTCAGGTGGAGGAGGTCGTCCGCTTGCTCGATCTGACGGAGTCATACTTCTGGAATCGAAGGATGTGGTAGGATGTGGCAGGTATGACGTGTGCCTGTTTGGTGGCCTCTTTTGTTCACCTTTGTATATAGATACTGCAAGACTTGCACGCTGCGAATGGCAGATCCTATTTCTGATCTGTAAGAGTTCGCTGGCTCGCAGTCCCGTGCCCCACACGCAGCCGTCGTAGTTCGCTGGTTCGCCGTGAAACACACGCAACTGCGGTCTCGTGCTGTGAACGCCGTGGCCGCCGTCGGCGGTTCCGTCGCGTTGCGGACGCCGCTTGGCATGAAATGGCCGGTTTGAGGCCACTTTTGGGGCTCGCTTCGAGATCCCTCGAGGCTCGCAGTGGGGGTCTTTATTGTTCGATCGATTCATGTATGAATGCTTTAAATCTGCCGGGCTTTCTGAGAGAAGGTCTTCCATGGCATGGATTGGCAGAGTTGTTCTTTTTTCAAGCGGTTCGCGTTGTTGATGCATGAACAGGAGACAAACTTTTTGTGAACATCTTTGAACTGAGTAACACGGAGTGTTGATTCCAACAGGGGACATCTCAGAGAGAAATGGAGCCCAGAGATCAGATACGGATCAAGGTTTGCCTCCAATGAGGTGCGCAAGCTTGATGCCTGGCGTTTGGTGTCATTGTACCCACATCAAGGGAAACATTCAAGCGGCCAAGACAGTTCCTTAGCCTTAGCTGATCCAGCATGTGATTCCGCCTCGTTTTTGATGTGATTATATAGTTGATTGGACCAACTGAAGTGGCAGGACTGAACTTCACACAGATGGCGGTCGCTCGCTTTGCGTGCCATGCCAGGCAAATGCACATGTCAGTGAGCTTGTGTTGATGACAAGGATTGTCCATCACATTCCATGGCGACCATGGCCATGCCTAAGAACAGTCTTCAGTTCCTCATTCTGTGGTGTAGTAGGTGGAAAGTCATAAGCAGTCACACAACCTTGTATCCCAAAGACATATTCATTTGGTAACTTGGTTTAGATTGTATTATTATGGTTTTTCCCCAATGTGGGCTTCATGTTGACGCAAATACCGATGTCAGTTGGCAGATGCTGTTTTGCCTGCAGCCACTCAGATCAGAGGGAGCACGGTAAACAATGGTAAACATTCAAAAGGACCACGCACCTGAGTCACGTAGTTTGAGAGGTATCCCATCGACCAGCCGATCTGAAATGGTTCATCGGCCCAGTTGAGCCACTGACAGCAGCCACGGTTAGGCCACCATGACTGCTGTCACAGCCTCCTTCGCTCCTTCCATGGCAGATCATTTGGAGGAACAGCAAAGCCTCCACACAGCATCCGCATCCGCTTCCTTTCGAACGAGAGTTGTCGAAGCTGTCGAATTTGACGAAGCTGTTCCCGGGATCGGCCGCCCTGAGTCCGGTCAGACCGCGGTCTTCAGCGACGGCACGTGGCAGGTGAAGAACACCTTCATCGAGGTGCCCGAAGTGGCCCAAGCCTCTCACCTTCGGCGGGCTTTCTCAGCACCAGCAGGATGTGGCCTCAAACTCCACAGCTTTCCCGTTGAAAGTCCATGCTCGACAGCCATGGATTCACCGGATGCCGCCAAAAACTGCATCATCGACAGTCCGTTGGGCGGACTCCAAGGAGTGCCCCCACCACCCCCTGAGCCACCAAGACTGCCTTTCAGTACGTTGCCGCCACTGCCAGCGCCGCCGCCAAAGAGATGCAGGAAGCTTCGACGTCCAAAGCGATCCGACCGATCACAGGATCCGCCACACAAGGCGCGTGCTATCGTTGTATTTGCAGACCATGGCGAGCCGTCCTGGAAATATGCACCAAGTCCCGTTGGCCCCAGTGTGCACCGATATCCTTTGAGGGATCAAGGTCGCCGGAATCGATTGGTGTTTTGCCAAGGGATTTGCAAACATTGCATTAACCCAAAAGAACATTGCATGAAGCAGTTGTGCAGCTATGAGCATTGGCACCATGATGTTCTTTTGAAGATCCTTGAGATGGTGGACCAATTGGAGGATGAGATGCCAGGAGAGGCCACGAGGCTTGACTGCTTGGCTTGACCGTGACCGGCATCCACAGCCCGGACGTTGCCTGACCAAGGTCCTTGAGGCCGTAGTTGGCCCCAGAAGTGGGTTTGTAGGAGTGAAAGAGAGACGCTAGGCTCCAAGATGTTCTAGGCCCCAAATCCTTCCTAGTTGGCCCCTAGGTCTTTCAGGCCTAGGCTTGTAGGATTTTGTAGGTGGAAAATTGGAACAGAGACGCTGCAGATGCGTCTACGAGAACAAAAAGGAAGCGAAACTGGAAAGGGACGGCTTGCAAGCATTGAAACTTGAATCCAATAAGCTTGAAGCAGAACGGTCCCAGGAAGGCCTGCGTATCTTGATGACCGTTCCTTAAGGGAACTGTAAGTTCTGATTCCTGTTGACGACCCGCTCGAAAGGCCAGGCAACAGCCACTATTATGAAGGCCGAACTTTGCACATGTGGAATCATGTGGACATCAAATTTCACAGTGTTAGACTGTTTGAGTTCATGCTGTCTCCATCCAGGCCAATGGGAAGACAATCAACTGCGTGGTCAAGGGGTTCAGGGCCAAGTCGGCTAAGTTCATGCAGGGCCAGGCAATCAATCCGTGTGCATGTGGGGTCCATGTGTCCCTTCTTTGTCAAAGATACGCTTGTTTGCTCTCCCGTGTTAAGACTGTTAAGACTGATGGCCAACAGGGGTCAGACTTGTCGGCGCCTATCAGAACAATCTCAAGCATGGTCCACTTCTCAGACACATTGTGGACCGACCTTGTTGCTGGCAACTTGCGATGGCAGGTGATGGAACAGTCAATATGGCAAGGTGGTGTCAGGGGCGTGCGCCATACAATGCTTCGGATTTGATGCCAAGTCATCTGCAAAACGTGGAAGCAGTGGAGCTCCCAACCAAGTGCAGGACAGCGTTGGCCAGAGTTGTGTAAATTCTATGTGGCTGCAAAATGCAAGATGGGTTCTAGGTGCCAAAACCCACATTCAGATGGAAGAAAGGGCATTCCATGTCAGTTTTTTGCCAGCGACCAATGTCGCCTTCATCCCAGTCCTAAAACCTCCACAGTTTGCACGGGCCCAGACGGCGGCCACTTCTAGTTCCACTAGTTGGAGACAACAGTTGCACACAAATCGAGCACGTGATTCGCTAGTTGTTCCTCAGCATTCTTCAAAAGACCATGAGAGAGCCTCAATTTCATGGTGTTTCACTAGGTTCCTTGGTAGAAACCGGGACTGCTTGGAGGCGGACGAAATTTGGCCACACCGCACGTGCAATGAGAGGACGTGAGAGGGCCGATATTTTTACGCAACAACATTCTCAACCCTTTAATCTCTTTCGCCTGGGGCCTTGGGGGGAACTCTTCGCTGGACCTTTCCGAGCGCCTCTCATGGCGGTGGCTTTGTCGCTCGGACTGTGACTGGGGACGAAGGCACAACCCACCGGGAAAGTCACTGCGCAGGAGTGCATGAAACTTGCAGAGACAACCTCGCTTTGCATCAGGGGGTAGACGCGAGATCAAGGGAAAGTTGGATTGATTTGTGATTGACACACGCACACACACACACACACGCTTGCTGATTTGTCACATCCTGTCCTCAAGATTAAACAATGTGTATCGTCAAATGTGAGGGCATGAAAGTGAGAAAGATGATGAAAGATGTCCTTTTTACTTGCGCAATTCTCATAGCAATTACTATATTCAACTTGACTCTCAGACAGACGAACACAATCAACCGACAGACCCTGCATCAGGCGAAATGCCGGCAGTGTGCTGAGTACAAGATGGGACAGACAACCATCACTTTGCATGATGGCAAGTCAAAAAACTGGATGCATTCATCGACACTATTCGACATCACCTCTATGGCATGCATATACCTTTGCCTCAGGGTCCACCGTTGCCACTTGCTGTGATTCAAGTGTGGTTCCAGCAGCATTCAACGAGCCATACAGGCCGCTGCTCGCACCTTCCGAGGCACGATCCATACTTCTGCCGAGCTCAGCTGTGGGTGCCATATCACTTGCGCTGATGCAACTGCACCAGACTCAGCGCACGCAGCATGGAGGGTGCCTTCTGTGCTTACAAACCGCAAGCTGCTCAGCGTGAAAGAAGTCGGGTTTTGCCCGAGCACCTGCAGGATACGGTGGCCCACAAGCTTGCTTGCTAGATTGAGCTGCAGAGAGGGTCTCAGCACTGCTCTCATGTGCTTTCAATTGTGTTGGAGTTCTGCGGAGAGTGGCTGAGTACAGATGACTTCGAAGGCTTTCTAGCGGGGTACTTGCTGAGCTTCATGAATGGAGATGAGAAGCAGCCAGACAGCCGTCGGGAACCTATTTTAAAGATCCAAGATCGATCCAAGATCGATCCTGACGTTCTTACCATACTCGCAATGGCACAAACGTCATGCGTGTGAGTGGTCGTGTGAATATGTTTTGAATTCTGAAACGCCTTCAATTGTTCCTCACCGTTTCACGCGCTAATTAAGCTGCCTTATGCATCAAAGGGCGCAGCTTGAAGCTGTTGGCTTTGGCGCAGTATTTTTGGAATGCTGCAGGGACCTCAGAGAGGTCATTGGGAGAAAAGTAGATCAGTACTGTGGCCCTTTTGGCCCTTTGACAGGTTCTTCAAGTAAACTTGGTTTAGTCATGTGAGCATCCATCATGTTAAGCAAAGCAGCCCAACCGCTGATTGACCTTCTGTTGATAATTGATGGGTTGCTAGCTGGGTGGCTTTGCGCTTTGTGTTTTGTGGACTTCTGGAAGATAAAATTGTGTGCTTGCTTGTTGGGCTGTATGAAAGGGATCCACAGTTCAAGCCGCAAAAACCACTGAGGTCTTGCCAAAGATCTTTGACATTCACTGCCAAGTGGATGTAGAGGTCATTGTGGATGCTGGTGTTTCATTTTTTGCATTGGTTTGTTTAACGCACGAAGGGAACATTGCACATCTTTGTCTCAGAATCACTCGAAAGGAGCTGCGCAAATGCGATCAATGTATCGTACTCGCCTTACCAACAAATATCTCAAACAAAACATGCTCAAGAAACGTGTGTCGCTTTGCCAAGGCATGTCAAACCAATACCAATCGCGGTTGAATTGGATTTTGCTGACCAATGAACGGCATGTTGTGCCGTGTTCATGTACTAAGCGTTCAGGACAGAGTATCTCAATGCTTTTTCTTGCGACTCTTCCTGCATGCTTGTTGACACTCGTCCTATCCATTTTGGCAGTGCATCCACAGGTTGCAGTGCATCCACACGGCGTTCTCTCCCTGAGGCACTACCTGGTGATTTCGGTGCCCGCGATGTTTCGGTGCGATGTTTCGGAAAAATCGCGGCGGCTTTCACCGTGACAGGGTTTCCATCCCGACCTGGAAAAAGCTCTTCCTGCGCGGCGGAGATGCGCTCTAAGTGCCACGCACTGAGGATTGACCACGAAGAACGAAGGGACGAACACGCGTTCCGCGCGCGTTCCACGCGTTCCGCGCGTTCAGCGGTGCAAAGACGAGGCTGGAGTGCTGTTCAAACTGCCGGTGGTGCGAGAGATTGCGCTCGGCATGGGCTGTTTTCATCTCAGTCTTGGATAGTCTATTCGACAGTCTCAGGATCCTCATGTTCTTTCGATTTATGGATGAATCATGATGAATCTCAAGGTGTTACTTATGCTGCTTGTATGTGACTCGTTGATACTCTTTGCAGCCACACACACTTCAGTGTGACGAGGTGTGGATGCTCACAGAGAGATCGCCAAAAAATGTCTGGCAAAAGGGCGGGGGTCACAGTATGAGTTGCAGGACCATGTCAATGTGATGTCTCCTTTGGCGTTATATTATTTTCCAGTTGACCAACAAGGCAGCTTGATGGCTGCCTTGTTGATGGAAACAGCCATTGCGCAGCATGGATAATCAGCATGATGGTGATGTCGATCATGTCTGATTATTTGACCCAAGTTGTTCAGCACGTTTTGAAAGATGTTTGAACTCCAGATCATCTCGTGTCTGGTGAAGACGTGCTTGGACAACTTGTTGATGTGATTTGCAGCCCGAGGCTGAGCCTATCTGTGGTTCCTGGAGGAGAGCGGGAGCAGCTTTTAGCACAGTGTGGGACCTAGAGCCAGAAGAATCAGCTTTCCAACATAAAGCATAGATTTATATTTATCCTTTTACATTTTAGAATTATGAGATACCACAATGAAGGTTATTTAAGGATTTACGTGTGGTATGTTTTTTTGATTATTTTTTCACAACGAAAACAATTATGTGCAAAGCGAGAGGGAGAATTCCTTAGTCTCATGGCCTTGCACTCTTGAATGAGTTTGTTCATGCATGTTCTTTGTTTCTACTCATGCAATTGCAACATCCTAGTACTCATGAAGCTTTTGCTACTGTATCAGGCGTGGCCAGGTAGAGGAGTTGGTATTGAAGCAGCGGCAGGCCCAAATCAAAAAAGAAACAGCGTTCCTTCCTTTCACAAAGTATAAAGTGTACGGCAGGATCAGGAACAGGAATAGTGATCTTATACGTAACTGTTGTGGGTCAAACGCTGTGTTCCCTGTGTTCACCCGTGCATGTTTATGCTGTCGCTGCATGCTTGTGATTCCAGAGCGAGCTGGATTTTAAGTTTTGAAACAAACTCCTGACACTGATCTCTTTTTGTGTAGTTCACGGACCTTCATGCTGTGCATCAGCGGCTTTGTCCAACCTTCCGTGGGCCCCTTCCATTTTCACGATGCCAACTCGCCTCGTTGAACCACGGTCACGCAACGCGAGTGCTGTCGCAGGGGTTCATTCGCTTGGCCCTCCAATATGGAGTGCCGTGAGCCTGTCTTACTTTGCTGAGAAGAGCCAAGACGATAGCTTGCAATGATGCAACATTTCATGATATACTTGTGATGTGATGAGTCAATGAGTCTATCCTGGCCGTGGGAAGCCAGGATCGTCCCGGTTTACGTATTTGGCGAGGCTCAACTGCCAGGACCTGATACTGAAACGAGAAGGTCTTGAGTAAATATGGGTACCCATTTGACATGACTTGCTGAGGTTCAAACAGAGCAGGTTCCTTTTTGGCCTTCGATCTTGGTTGCAGCGAGCGTTAGGCGAACCGCATCGGACTTGGACGATGTGGTGGACTTTCGTCGGACTGCACTGCACATGGACTGCTTGCACTGCGGAACCGCTTCCGTAGGCATTGCCTGGGTCATGCCCTATGGACCGTGGGGACTGTTCCTGCCTCATTTTGCCTTTATACAAAGGCTGATGTGGAACATCAATCAGAACATTTGCTGATGTGGAGTGCTGATTTGTGCAAAGGCCTTTCCAAAAGTTTGATGACCCGATCCGGATTGTCGTTGGCAAGCCCGTGCCAATGCCCAGGCCAGGTAGAAACTTAGGATTGCGGAAGGCAACTTGCTGGAGCAAGTCTTTGCTCCCCCAAACTTGCGGACTTTCCTGCTTCGCACTTTTACAAACAGATACTATATATAGATACTGTAACAATATAGGTGGGTTTGTGCGTAGTTGAGCCTATATCACAAACTTATGTCTGATTGAAAAAGGATGCCGGAGCACACGAAGGAGGACTTACAGCAGCACCATACAAGGCGCAAACAATATGGAGTGATTTGCAAGTTTGCAGGTAAGACTATCATATCGCACTTCCCAGAGGAAAGCAAATCACAGCTGTTGACAATTCATTGGAGGTATGTTGAAGAAGTGTGTCGGCTTTTTGACGACAACAAGGCCGTGTTTATGACAACAGCGACCGTTGTCCAAAAGGGGTCTTTTTATTGGGTGGATTGCTTCAAGGCTGCTGCTGGATATGGAGACAAAATCCTCCGTATTGCCTGTGGCTCAACAATTCTGACGCGTACGTGGGCCCGAATCATTTTGCGTTTCCTCGCAGAGCCCCTCAAATTGTCAGGTGTAGACAGCTTCACAGCTGCTATCGTTTGGAGCTGGAAAAATGCCCTGTTTCGACTCCATCGCTTCTTTTGCCTGTCGCTTCATGCGTGTTGACTTCCCGGCAAGAAATGGACAGCATATTTGTCACAGCAGAAACTAACACCAACAAGAATGGAGAGATGAAGAAGAATGAGCTCGCATTGTAAGCTTACACAAGTAAGTACTCAAGCAGTGAAACAGTTGCTTCAGTGAAACTGGTCACTGCCGCAATGGTTCTTTGTCACAAGCCGCAAAGTATGACTCGGTGTCAAACGAATGAAACTCCCTCCAAATGATCAGACATGGTTAGGCATTGACACAAAAGAGAGACTGGAATGATGTAATACGAACAGTACATGTCAATACATATCCAGAATCTTTTTCAGAGTTTGCGGATTCCTATTTCTTTTTATACATACTGTTCTTGCCCATTCTGTTTGGCAATACCAAAGCATGCATTCCTGTCATCCTTGCATCTTGTTGTGTCTCTCGATGCAGGTGGGCGTGTCACACGAGTATATCGATTTTTGGGCTTGTAGCCAACTTTTCGACCAATCTCCGTCTCAGACGCAGAACCGAGCCCAACGGAATTGCTAGCCATGGGAAAGTGGTATGACACCGCCAAGCCTGAATGGCAAAAGCGTCGCCAGCTGATCTCATGCTAAGCGTCAACAAGGGTTGATCTGGTGTTTTTCGCCGCCACATTGAGGCAACAAAGATGTGCGCCAAGAGTGGAAGGGACAGAACCACTTGCATGATTGGTCTGGATATGGCTGGCCCAATAATGCTTGGAACACTTGGCCAACTTGGCCAAGTGGCTCTGCCAAGGCACAGAAGTTGATGACGTCAGAGATCCCACCTTTGGCGTCACGATAGCGTCAGGCCAAGCCCAAGAAGAAAGAGGAAAAGAAGGACGTGGACCCCGAAGTGATGATCTCCAAGTACCTCAGTGGTGTTTTGCGGCACAATGCGGTCCGAAAGCCAAGAGACGAATCGAATGACTCCTCAAGAGCGCGAAGAGACTAGATCGTTGTTTCCACCCTAGTAGCGATGGCCTCCAACCCAGTAGTGATGGCCTCCAACCTACAAGCACCCTAGTAGCGATGGCCTCCACCGTAGTAGCGATGGCCTCCACCGTAGTAGCGATGGCCTCCACCCTAGTATTTTCTTGCTACTAGGAGCGCTCATATCCCACGTTGCAAAGATCTCTCAGGTGTCTTTGGGTTTGGAAGTGCGGGGAGATGGATACGTTGCAGTCTCCAAGGCCGCAGTCTCAGTCCTTGATTTTTGCATGAACTGAGTTTTGCGGGGCAAATCCGTAAAGAACCAGGGTTTCCTTGTTGATTTGTTTTTTGCACTCGTGATGCTGAATAAATCAGTTTGGTGTAAGCCAGCCGGAGTCAATGTGGTAGCCATACTCTTCGTCAGGCAGAAGCTTTACTAGTGGAGTGAATAACGTCTAGACTAAAGGTACAACAGGAGCCCCCACTTTTTCAAAAGGCCTCATCACTTGGCTTTGTGCAACTCTGTAAGCCTTCCATGAATTCCTTTCCCCACTGATTTTGAAGGAAAACCACATGGGGAAGACGCCACGACTTGACCGGGTGAGTTAAACACGTGGGAAACACTTGGGACCGTTCAGTGCTGTTGGCTGACTGGAGTGTCACATCCGAGTGCTTTGCTCGGAGGTCTTAGAGCTGGAGTTTTTCAAAAACCACAACGTGAGCGAGGAGGCGAGTGGCTTCGTGTGTGCTAAATCAAGCGCATGCGGGCTTTGCACACTGATGGCAGATGCATGGTTGTGGTATTTTCATGTATTTTCTTTTCTTCACATGTCTTTGTTTCACATGTTTCACATGTTAGCATCTTGGAGTTCAGGAGATTCGAGGTCTCGTTGAAAAGAACGAGAAGAAGAGATTCGGGCTGATCGAGTTTGATGATGATCATATCTTAGAGTCAGCAAAGCACAGGCGCACAGGCAAGGGGCAAGTTTGTCAAGTTTCGCGCACTCAGGAGCTATACATTCGAGCACATCAGGGACACAGCATCAACTTTGTACAGGCGTGCCCTGAGTGCTACGCTTGTTATGTTGATAAAGGTTTCGTTGGATCAAGAAAGCATTCAATTATTCAAAAACAGAACCAGATTGAAACAGCGATTTCTTGTGCTGTGTGGTTTCCACCCCACGAAAATTGGAGGATACCGAGCTCCTTGAGGAAATTCCCGTCACAGAGGCGGGAACACGCCACACGGGTTGGATTTACGCCCCCCCGATAGTCATGAACGTTGCCAAAGGGATCGAAACACTAAGAAAAGCCACGGTTTCTTTCCGTGTACTGTTCTTGTGTACGCTTTTTTGCAACATCGACGTGTCACGGACGTTCCACTCTCTGACTGAACTTGAATGTCCGTGCGACGTGGGCAGAATTTGAATGTCCTTTGCCACGGCACCTTTGCGTCGAAGTGGGAGAGGACGGTGGGGCTCAGCGTTTGCGGCTCACTGCTGTTCCCAGTTGTTTATTGTTGCAACAAAAGCACCGCAGGAGCTTCAAAGGATGTCATGTTCATGTTCATTTCACTTCACTTTCCTGCGTTTTTAGTGGATAGTGATATTATTTGATATGTGTGATTTGGTTGATGTATGTTGATGTTTACCCCGGTTTGGTGAGGATCAAAGAGGAAGGCCTCAGGACATGACCACACCTGCCGTTGTTCATCGGATACGCATCTGCTGGAAGTTGCAGCGTCTGGCTTGTGTGGTGCCACGGCTATGCCAGGACCATGGGTCGTAACCATATCCACCTTGTAATGAAGGACTTGGTTGACGAGGAGGGATGCGTTTTGAAGCCGAGTTCTGGGGCGTTCAGAAAATATCTCCAGATGAATGAGAGATGGACTCGTTGATGGACCTCAACTCAAGTTGCCTGTGTACCATTGTAGACTTGGGTTTCATGGTGAAGGAGAATCGAACCTCTGCTGAATGCTTAGCATTGAGACATGCCTTCACATTCAGTAAAGAGTTCACATGGGCCATGTGAACACATCACTTTCTGAGGTGATTAGTGGTGCAAGAGGAGAATTCGACACAATTGTGTCTTGGATGGCCACCAGTCCAGAGAATCATGGGATTGCAAAAACAGTCAAGCTCCCGAATTAGGTCTTCATTGCGAGAATCTTAGCTCTGTGCACAACTGGGGATGTCGTGAATCAGAAGATGTCCGATCTGTCTGATGTTTGGCTTGGTATTGAGTCTTGAGGCAGCAGATTTGGCAAGGGAGGAAGGTGTCACCTTCTTTCGAAGTGAAAATGATGCCTGCGCCTTTGCGACGCACATGGATTTTGCATCTTTTTGCATGATTTATTTTTGCCTGAGGTGGTGCTCACCCGTGGTCTTGGTCCAAGCCAACACATTTTGAATCATTTTGATGTCTTTTTTGTGCAAAATGCTCTGAGGGCTTGAATATTCAGAAGGTGGAGGACATTTGCCAACAAGACTGTTTCAGAAAGTTGTATTCTGGGACTGGGAGGCTCTGTGGACAACTCACAACTCAAAGACCTGAATTTTGCTCGAATTGCCAGGCCAATGGCTGGCAAGAGGAAAAAATTGCAACGTGAATTCAAAACAAATGTTGCAGAAATAGTTTTAAACATATAAATATTTATAAATTTTAATGATTAGGTTCTTGCTAAAATATATTATATTAAAACATAGATAAAGGGGTCGAAAGTAGCTTATGATGTTATTATTTCAATTAGATTATATAACGGATCTTTAGTTAAACATATTTATTTGAAAGCTGGACGTTAGATTTGCGGTAGATTTGCGTTAGTGTTTGCTTTAGGATATGTTTGGAATGTCGTTAGGTTTTTGAAAAGTGGTTGGTTGAAAATTCCGTTAGTCGTACGATAGTATTGCGCTAGATTCGCGCTAATAAATATTATTAGATTTTAGGGGATTTTTTAAGGCTGATTTATAATATATCTTTTATTTTAAGAATGGTTTGAAATTTGGAAATTAGTTGAAAATGATATAATGTTTTGATGCTAATGTATGTTTCATGTATTTGTTTTAATTAATTAATTATATATATTAAAATTAAGAATATATAAGATATTTTTATATGAATATAATTTTTAATTATTTTTGGAAGAATATATTTCGATTAAATTTTATATTTGATTTTATATATATATAATATTTTAGGATTTATTATTTCGGAAATAGAATATAAATTATATTATATTTTATTTATTTATTTGAAAAAATAATGAATAATATTTAAATAAGTATTTATATTTTTATATTATATATTTTATATATAGGAATATATTTTTTTATTTTATAAATTATATTTTTTATTTCATTTTTTTTTTATATTTTATTTGCCGGGAACCTGTGTTGGTTGGGTCGTAATTGGAGGGATTCTAAGGCCGGATACTTCACGAGTGTTTAGGTATTAGTGTTCGAAGGCTTGCTTATGCGAATTTATCGCTGAATAGTTGTTAAAACTCTTTGGCTTCATAGGCAAAGGACGTTTTTATTGCAGATTTGTATATTTTAAGGGGATGACCCAAATGAGGGAGACTTGACGGTGCTACTGTGCCAAAGGATGTTACGATAATGGCCTTTAGTGGGAGTGTCACCCAGGTGGATGATTTTCGCTGTTATTACAAAATCATGCCACTCAATATGGATGCCTCGGCGGTTATTGAAAATCGGAAGCTGCACGGGCAATCGTCTATCCTAAAGAACTGAACATCGGCTTTTTTGTCTAAGGAAGGGAAAACGAGACACCTGAAGGTAGATCCAAGGGGAATCACAGGTGAAGGCGTGCACAAAAGGCTCTTGATGATGCCAGTTGGTGATCATCTATTGAAGTATAATGAAACCCTCAATTGGACATGCCATGGGAACAGGGGCAAACACATCCGCATGATCTTCAATCGAACTAAGCAACCGAGAGCTCTAGCCCGCCTGCATATATT